CAATGGCTTCTTTCAATGACGATGCAGTCACGTTTCTTGAAGGCAAATGCTGAGCGATTTTGAATACACTTCGCCGATGGAAATTTCGGCCCTGCCTTAAATGATCAAGTATGGTCTGGGATTAAGCTGTTCCTATGAAGTCATTGAATTATGAAAGCTAATGTCATTGGATGTAAACCTGTACTACTGAAACTGCTTAGAATACTGATAAAATAAAAGATGTTTATAATAAAAGTAAATAAATAAAATTTTTAAGGCGAATGATTACTGTTAAAAGGTGCATTACCTTGGTTCCGCTAGCTTTCATCTTCTCTTATCATACTTTGAGATTATTAAAGACTGTTTACTTAAATTTCAGGTTTTTGCAAATAATCACTAGGACAAACGAATATCCGTTTATGACCATAATTGTCATACAAATGAGAATCAGGCTTTCTAAAATTTTACGAACTGTATATTAAATAGAAAATCTGCCAACTTGGTTTACATTGTTGCAGTTGGAAAGTATGAGTGACTGGGCAAATGTTAAGAGAAAGTTTCATCCGTTGAATTCAACTGTCATTTTCTTTTGTGATGGATCATTTATTACAAGGGATGTGAAAATAAATTAATTAACTATCGCGTAGGCATAAGCATCACTGGAAATTTATATGGACCATGCACTACCTTCTGTTCTCGTCATCCGGGTTTTCTTGATGTGTATACTGGCGATTGCTACGTCTTTCAGAGGTGTCCACTGAAAACAGTTGGCAGTGGTCAAATCTCTTGGATCACGTGAATATTGAGAATGATACTGAAACATCATCACTAGTAATGATATTCTCAGTTATCTTAATTCCAATTGTGTGGAGAACTGGGAAGAGGCTTGAATCTGACACTATCACGCTTAACAGCCCGTCATGTTGCCAAATGAAAAGTGCTGTATTAGACAGAACAGTGTCTCCCTGTCATCTCCAGCTTCAAGTTCTCAGGACTTAGCGAAGATGGAGTAGAGATTCATTCTATGATCACAAGATCTAAGACCCGCGTATACCCAAGAAAGCTTTCAGGCGATGCATTTCTGTATTTGTTCATCACATATACCTGCGCAGCTTCCGTTCCTTCGTTTTCCTGGGTTCATTATCTATGGCAGCAACGTACTCACGCTGTCCCTACAGTAGGCAGCTAAGTCTTAAGTCGTTTCTCTCCACGTTGTTCAAAAGGTAATACGAGACGTTCTTAATG